GGTAGACAAAATGCATACGTCGGCTAGTACAAAAGGAGTGTTAAAACACCAGTAATTTTGTTTAACAACAGTACTTGTATTTTTGTATTTATCTTGCATTTTTGTCTTCTTTCTCGCTATATGCCTTGCATGTAATTATTTTCTCGTAAGCTAAAGAACTTTCTGTTACTCTCCACGACTTGCGCAAATTGGCACTACCTGTTCTAAATGCTTATTGGCTGCAAACTACCTTGGACTCCCACCCCACGTAGATAAGTCAATGGCGGTCTATTCAGTTTCCTCAAATATTCTGATTAAAATTTTGAGCTGCGCATTTAATGTCCGCCTACTATTGTATTGCAGACAAAGCTTCACGGCAGTTTTTGACTTTTAAAATTTCGCTTCCCCGCTGCCCGTAGTAAGGCCCCACCCGTATAACCCCTAATACCACAATTCCCGTTAGGCACGGTTCACCGGTTATCGTCTCTCTACTCCGCGCACATACTAACTCTTGCCAAAACATCCAGTCTTTCAGATAGATAATCACAGCACTTTTAATGTATATAGTTCAAGTACAAGGAGAAGTAGTGAGAAGACCAAACAGTCGCTAATGGATGCAAAAAAGATTTCTTTCCTGCAGTCGTCACAATAACGCGCACCTATACGGAATGTTAAATTAGTTTCCGCCAATTGAAATTACTAAAGCTTTCGGAGAATAGTACACTGTCCTGCCTTCAGATGTATTTTCCCGTATTAAACCATTATGTCTCTCTGAGGCCTATACACTGACACAAACGTAAACGCAGCGTGCTAAACGTGCAAATATTCAGAAGAATCGGTGAGCTTGTCACGAGACGGTTCTTTATTGCCGCTTAAATCCAAATCCACAAATAATCGGCGTTTTGAACGTGGAAGTTTATACGACGCGTTATTTGCAAGTCCTAAAGTATAAAGGCGCAAGATTATAACTCAATAACCCTTTGCAGCATTTGAGGTTGTATAGGCAGGCGCAAAACCAAATAGACAGCCAAAATTCTGACTAACAGAAGGGCTGAAATTCTAGCCATACTGCACATGCCTTACGTAGAGCGCAGAAGTGATTCTCAAGTAAACTAGCGTTGCCCTCGTTCACGCGTCCTACTCACATGCCAGCCGTAAGACGAGATTGCAAAAACGCTTGTTAGCATGGTTGGCCTTACGGAATACGAGCTGTTTCAATTCTAATGGGAAACTCTATAGCACTTTAGAGTCAAACTACTTCAAAATATATTTTAAGTCGGCCTGACTAGTTCGTTATCGGATAAGCCAAGTACAAGTATACCGGAATATATATACTGTTTGGCAGCGGTACGGTAAAGGACCCCAACTAGCTGTCGGTAGACTGTCGGTCGCGTGATGATGTACATACTTGCGAAACCTAGTTAGGGTCTGATAACTGGCAGTTGTACTTAAGAGCGGAGAAACAAAGAGCAAAGTCAAAGTTATATAGTGCATTACTTGACACGGCCGAACGCAGACTGAATTATAGCAGCTGTGTGAGCACAAAACTGAAAGAAATGTAAACCATGAAGTAGCATATCAGTGTCAAAACTCGGTAGGAACAGCTACGAGATATCGCACAGACCAACACAACAGTGGCCTTCGACCGCGCACAATGTCAGGACTCGTTTTATGAAAATGGCAGCGAAATCCGCACTCCCCTCCCTAAGAAGTACAGGCTACCTATGGCCTACACGGGAACGCATAAAGTTTTGCACCTCCGACTTCGACGCCTAGTTCAACGGATTACTATCTGACCCGGATCCGAGATTAATTTTCCTCGGTCATCGAAGCAGCCTACAGGTTACGAACCTTGTGAACTGCGCACCGCTGACCTAGGATGGGGTGACCCTCCTAGTGGGAGTAGTCACAGACCCTAAGGCACTGGGCTGTGCACTTTCAGGTCGTCGTCTGCCATCCATCGACAATATGTGAAAACGTGCACACAATGGCCTTGATCGTCTGCTTTCCCTCCTTGAGACAATCGAAGCAGTACAACAGCCGTTCAGTAGGGAAACATTGGGAGCAGACGCAATTCCAGTCGAAGTCTATAACTTCGGAGACCTGCAACACCCGGAAAGCTTACCTCTTTGTTATAGGCGAAGTGGCGACAAGGGCGCATCCCCCATTTACGGGCGTAAGTGAGACCGGCAACTCTACGATAGCCTCAGAGGCATCCCCTTTCTCAAGATCGCAAAAAGCTCATTGCCCGTGTTCTACTCAGTCTCTTGAGCGCGGATCTGAAGCAGAGCCGTCTTTTAGAAACGCACCGCAAATTCCAAAAATACCGCACAATAATAGACTGCTGCAGTCCGTCAACTACAGTAAGTGCCAGGAAATGAATAGTAACCGCAACTTCATCCTCGTTGATCTGAGGACCTCTGACAGGGTTAAACACAATGGACTATTGAGAATCATGCTGAAATTTAAATTTCCTGAGCAGTTTTCGCGGATGGTAAAATAACCTCACGACGGGATGATGGTGCGTCACGAACAGCAGGGCAATGCCTGAAGTATCTGCGGCAACAAATGTAGCGAAATTTAGTTAAGTACTCGTTTCCACTACATTCACTCCCATGTTCTGCGCTGTGCTGGTGTGCGCCAACTGTATGAAGTAGCCAGGATCGACACTGGCTCAGTACCTGATGGAAAACTGTCCATCAGTTGGAGACTAAAAGCGTCGTCTATGGCATGCAAGGCAGCGTCCACGACCGGCTGTTCACGCATGACTACGCACGAAACACCACAACGTATGGGGACATGCGGCTGAGTGTTTACCCCTTCATCTGACAATGCGTCAACCTCGGTATGGCCATCGGCACAAAGAAGACAGTAGGACTACATCCATCGACGCCAAATATTAACTACAGACAAACATGTGTCAGTGTCAGTGAAACTCGCGTCACGGTAGTGTAGACACCTACACAAACTGGAGGTACAATTTCAAAAATCACCATGATCAACGACGAAATCGCATGTCGTACCTCCAAATCCAGGTAGGTCCGCGGCCGTCTAAATCATTCCCCCTGGAATCGCTGCGGTATTTGTTTGGCGCATAACTGAGCATGAGCCGATTTGTCGTGCTGTACGGGACCGAGACGTGAAACATTTATGAAGATCAATCAAGAAGACACCCATTTACACCTGAACTGCCCCGAAGTTTGGTGAAGGTGAATGAGCAGGAACGCATACTCTACACTCACGTCCTGGAAAGAAACGACAGTCAGATGTGGTTATGTAGCCCCACCTGAAATAAACAAACCCCAGCCACCTCTAACACGGGACCGGTGGTAATACGGTTTACAGATGGGACCGGGGAATGCACAGGCGACGAGGTCAAGCAGTTGCATGCAAAAGAAAAGCTATTAGGAATACGCGGTTGTACTTCGAATGGTTTAGAAATAGTTGCTCTAGCCCCTAATCCTAACTCTTAACCTCAACCCCACCAGTACTGTGTCCATCAGGTGGAGCTACCAAACCACACCTTACCGAAATGACGTTCCCAGTATCCAGAACGGTGTTTAGCAGAATATGTGATTTGTACCGGCAACCCCTACTATTGGCTGACCTATCCAAGGTTGCGTTACCTATGCTGAGGCTAATGCTCCTTACATTATGCATTTCATCATTCATAGGTTCATTCGACACTTGTGTGGACGTTATGCCGTCCAAACGTTGAAGGAAACCGCAAAGCGTCCAAAGACATTCCGAGGAGACAATGTCGAAGAGAAAATTTGCAGCACCCAGACAGGATTATCTAGAGCGCATATCCTGAAACCACTGAATTAACGGACCAAAGCAATGCCTTATGTCCCCCCTTGAATTTTTCATTACCATGATGCACGACAAACAGGGAACATACAAGGGAAGACAAACCCCACCATGCTACAAAGAATGAATCCGTCGTATAACTCGAAATTCGAAGAAATCATTATGGTCCTCTTTCTGCCCTGTTTGCTACATCAATGTCTGGAATGTCCTTCTGACAATCGGAAAGTGAAGGCTTTGACCGAGAGCGAAAATCGAACAACTCTCCATCGATTCACTCCAATATGTGCTTTCACTGAGATGGCTTACATAGCACCACAGAACTAAACGGATATGGGTTCAAATTACAGTTCCTTATTTCGAGACATCTTTTATCCACCTTTAAGAAAAACTGGACAAAGCACGCGATGTCATTGCATTTCCAGCAGCTGCGAGGCTTATACAGTCAGTTTTATGCGACGGCCAGAAGTCACCTTCCTTTAGTGGCTGACTTGAGCCTGTTAGCTAGACTGAATCTTTTTACCTTTTTACCTTGCTGCACAACGAATGGGTCAACAGATGTGAGATCCCTGAGAGCGAAAAGCATCCAATTTGTCAATGCGCAGTAGGCCGGTCGCAACTTCGTATGAAAATAATCCCTTCTGCTCGACATCCCATTGCGATTTGCATGCCGCAGAACTGTCTCCACTACGCGCAACTAATTTCCTATATTTGCATTAAAACGAAACATTCCCCCACACCAGTTTTGTCGCAGGCGCGCGCAAGAGGTCAGACGGTAGATGGTCGCACAGGTTTTTGTCGGTAAAAAAGGTGCACAGAGACAAGCCAATAACCGAAAATGATACGGCACTGCTACTTGTTTCTGGACCTTCAACTTCGCAGTCCACCCGTCTATGTCCCTATCTGCGGATTTGTTTCTCCAAACTAACTATACGAACACAATTTCGGGGGGGCTCGAGAGTTGGGTCAAAGGATGAACCGTCAGACAAACTTAACTATTTGGTACAGATGACAACCACCAGTGGAAATGCAAAAATGACTGGCAGAGTAAAAATACTGGCTTGCAGAAGCGCTTATTTGACTTCTGCATAAAGGACCAGAAAATGGTAACAACGAAGTAAAGAACGCAAAACCGGATAAAAGGAGTAACCGTGACAGAGGCATCTACTTTTTAGTAGCATGAGCCTGCCGATGCGATATTTCATTGGCAGCAGTTACTGAGCTGGCAGCTTATGAGTCACCCTCCGCTCACCGGCAGATGGCTCAGGGCAAACGGCTCTTAGCAGAGAGTGCAGAAGGTAAACATTAATGAGAAGGAAGAAGACAGAGGCCGACCACAGTGCCAACCACAAGATTCTACCCCAAAAGACGCCATAAATTTCATGAAAGTAAGCCACCAGAAGCCACGCTGCTTGGCCGCCAACCCAGAGTAGGACAAGTGGCAGTGCCCAAAGAACTGCATCTGTGTTCAATCCGAGGACTCGAAGCAATCTGAGGTTGGGAGCTCTCCTGGCTCTTGGGACGCAAACGCATGCCAGAGCAGAGGGAAGAAGAACCAGCCACCATAGGAAGTACTGAGAAGTGCAAACCTGAACATTAGAAGACAAACACTACGCAATTAGCCGTATAAAGATAATGATTCAGGTGAAAAGCAAAATGTGTAATTTCGTCCGTCTACGGTAACATAAAGAATAAAAGAACAAGCTTATCGGTCAGTAAACGCTGTTTATATCTGACGAGTCATTGAAAGTGCCAATAGATGGGGTCACGAATATGTGCATGAAAGATTTTTCTGAAGGAACCAGAATCAAGTGTAAAGGCAAGATAAACAAATGAAAATAAACGTTTAAACAGAAGGTAGAAAATTGACGTGCACCTCCCAAATAATAAGGTTTCGCGAAAAATTCCACTAAAGTACATCCGGCTGTCAAATACCAGATGACCTAGTAAGTTGGTCTGGATTAAACGTATCCCTTGAAGCCCCTTTCGAGCCAACCCCGTAGAATATGGATGATGACAGGTGCTTCACAATCATCCAGAAGCCGCTCACACGTGTGCTCGGAGTTACCGCATTTTTTAATCACGCTCCCTTCTTGTCGGGCAGTTCCGCAGTCAAACCATCACCTGAACCACAAAATGCTACCACTGTCGAAGATACTTCACTTGTTCGTCATCACTGCTGCTTGCACGTGTACGGTTCAGCTTCGCTCTGGTAGCCCCTAGAACTCACGATATTTCCTAGGCCGTCCTTCCGCAGTCAGAATTAATCAGACAAACGGCAGAACTCTCAAAAACTAGTCGACCACGCCAACTCGCCTATCCATATGTCCCCAATCGCCATGTGGGGCGCTTAAACTGATCGAAACCTGGGTCCATGCACACCGCTCCCTTCTACTAGTTAAATCGTTGGACAGTCCACTATAAAACCCACTGCTGAACCTGCCGAAACTGCTCGACGTCCATTAATTAGCTACAATGCCCAGAGACGGTAGCCCGCCAAACGACAAGACAGAAAACAACAGCACCGATGGCCAGATCGGACACTTGCAACCAGATGCCCGAAATTCACAGTCTTTAGTTCCATAATCTGCTTATATTGTTCCTTTGGTATTCCGAAAGCGCTCAGGGATGTTTGGTCATATGCATATACGCACAAACACCATGCTATTCGCGCAAAAATCAGGCGATGAGACTTCCCAACGTCGATGGGGATGGATGAGGTAAGGTATGTGTGGATGCTTGTGTGTGCACTTGTTGCCCCCTAAAACTGGCCAACGGTAGGTGCGCTCGACCAATAGAAAGGCCAGTTCGGAGTTCGACCAGCGTTATTGGAAATGCGCACCCATAAAAAATCCCAACGTTGAAAGACGATGGCAAGGCCGGGTGCAGGCCCACGCCGTGCCAATTAAGATCCGAGCAGCCCCCTTTTTCGTCTTGCAGTACAAAATCCTGGTCAGTGTACTTACAGTGCGTGACCGATCTCATGAAATTCTGGCCGAAATTATGAAATGCGTTTTCGATTAGGAAGGATTACTTGGGTGGGGTTGTAATATTGATTAGCGTGCGGCACAATCTTATAACATTTCAGACTCGGCAGGACGTCGACTTTTGAATGCACTTATTTTTGATTTCCTGTAGAAACCGTACTTGGCAAAGAGTGACTACTTAAGCAGCATGCATCTTTCGCATTGATTTTCGATGATTTTATAAATTCAAAAATACTTCATGCAAAACATAGACAAGAAATGCTTTCTTTTACCCATTTGATTGAGAATCACGTCATCATTAAATTGCATACTTGAAGGAGAAGCATAATTGGGTTTTGAAAGAGTTTCTAATTATGAGATTATTTAAGACGATGCAATGTTCATTCACACAACATCGTACCTGTCCGTTTACCATTGCTCCTCCTGAAATGTACAACACAGTCCGCATCCATGGCAAAATTTTGTGGACTCTATATGGTATCTTTTTAAAGGCATAGAAGAATGTATGATTTCCCATACACGGAACGCATGCACTTGTAGATTGAAATCACTAAGCGCTAATGCAACAGCCGATTAGGCTACAAATTATCCGCGAATAAGAAAACTTTTTTAAAACCTAACTATACTCCGTCTCCAAGTATTCCATTTAATGATGACGTGATTCTCAATCAAATGAGTAAAAGAAAGCATTTCTTGTCTATGTTTTGCATGAAGTATTTTTGAATTTATAAAATCATCGAAAATCAATGCGAAAGATGCATGCTACTTAAGTAGTCACTCTTTGCCAAGTACGGTTTCTACAGGAAATCAAAAAATACGTGCATTAAAAAGTCGACGTCCTGCCGAGTCTGAAATGTTATAGGATTGTGCCGCACACTAATCAATATTACAACCCCACCCAAGTAATCCTTCCTAATCGAAAACGCATTTCATAATTTCGGCCAGCATTTCATGAGATCGGTCACGCACTGTAGAAGACCAGGGGGTGTGATGGCACATCTAGGTGCGGATTTTCGCGTCCCCGTCGCGTGCGCCCGCTCTCGTCACCGGTCTTCTTGACTCCGTCTTGACACTGGGGTAAGATGGGGGAGGAGGGGGCGCGGTAGACGTAACGCAAGTCTACTATCACTAAAAAAGAATTTCAGCGCAAGTCGCCACCTCTGTTCTCACTGTGGTTTGGAGCAAACGGTGGACACCTTCGATCACGACGGTCCAACTATCGTGCATATTCGTTAGACGGCGGATTTACGCAAGGTCAGTCACTGTGCTCAGTGCCGTCCTCAGTCGCGTGGACTCCGACTTGACGCTCATATGGAGGAGGGAAAGGCAGTTTAAGCCAGAATCTAGTGCTTGATTTCCCAAGAGATGCTAACAGTTGTGACTAACAAGGCCGTGAAGGAGAACGGTCGCTGGAACGAGAGTTTTATTCGTCCGAGCTTTCGGATTCCGACCCAAAGGCATACTCAGGGACATCAGATGTTGTCTCTGATTATGGTTTCGAAAGGGAACCCGAAACGTCGATCGAATAAAGCTCTCGTTTCGGCGATCGTGTCTCCTTCACGACTGCTTCCTGGAAATCTCCTCTTGGCTTCTACCTAAAAGTTTGCCAGATAACGAGATAAATCGGGTATCCTTAGGACTGACGGTCAAGCCATAAAGACTCCCTCATAATGTGGCCCTAAGAACAACCTCGTGTAGATGTTGTCCAAAATCCCTCCATTAAAGCCTGGCAAGGATGAATTTGTAGAAAGGGTTCGGTGTGGTACGCACAACTAGGACTTTTTCTGTAGCCAGCCACTGTGCCCATATCCGTCTTCGGTTCGTCTTTACTATTTCTTGAAATCAGACCACAATTGACGGAAACAGTGGCATTGATGTACGTGCAGCGCAGACCTGATTCTCAGGGAAGCTGATGGTCTTAAACGTTTGCGAGAGACTTACTACAACATAAGTAAAATACTAACGATATACGACAGACAAAATGCAACGGCGGTTAAACAGTCCCTGAAAAAAAACCGAATTCCATCTGGTCCCATACGGAGGACTGACCTTGTTAAAAGCAACAAAGGCGAAAGTGATCGCGAACCAGGCCATGCTCGGTCGCCTATGCAATTTGAAGGCGAGCGAAGGTACGAGGATGAGGGCGGGCAGGAAGGTGAGCAGTTTGAAGAGGGTATAGAGGCGCTGCAGTGTTGGTGTAGCGTAAAACCATGCCAACAGGGCTGGTGGCAGTAGTCGCAGTGGAAAAAGATTCGCGTCGTAGGCCGATGGGGTGGCCATCTCACCGGAGAGGACACCCTCAAAGAGGTAGATAGGATAGAAGTGGGGTGCAAAGTTGTGCCAAAAGTCAACCCGAGTGAAGTGATAGAAGTAGGCCTGGTGCAGGAAACGCCACCCATAGAAGTAAAAACCCACCGTTGTGAGACTACAGAGCGAAATGAGAGTGGCCAGGGCGAAGAGCCAATGCGTCACACTTGGCACCAGAATGACACGCAGGAGGCGCCTCCAGCGCTGGCGGGTAAGGGTTGCGGGCGACTTACCCTTGACTGAAAGCCTCGGTGCGGAGGTGGCGATGAGAAGTTGACGTTGGCAGAGCATAAGATAGATAATAGGTGAGTATATGACTGGATAGAGTTTGAGGTGAATGCACAAGCCGAAGAGGAGACCTGAGAGGAAAGTGCGCTCCTGAAGAACACAGAGGAGGCAACAGAGGATGGCGAGGCCTAGGACGGACTCAGCGTTCCCGCGGACTGAGACTGTCACTGTCACAGGATTGAAGAGCCAGCAGAAACCAATAAGCCAGTTTAAGGTGTGCCGGGGGAGTTCGCTCCGAATTGACGTTGACAGGTATTTCTAGAGATGCAAAGCGACCTAGGCAGTAAGTATTCTCGTAGGTTGCTGGAAAAGAGAATTGTGAGCACGATCCTAAGTATACGCAGGCAATACATGCACGTAGTTTGTGCAGAAGACCGACTTCCACCCATTGCATACCCATTGAATTAAATTGGCTGTACCTTATGCCCAGAAACCTTAAATTCCTAACTGCGAAAATTCTAGAGAGGTACACTTACCTCAGCTCCTGACCGTTCAGTAGTGGTATATGACTTGTCCCTGTTCCTGACGATTGGATGAACAATGTTCAATTTCATGCCTTTCCCCAAGCGTTCTTTCTGATTTGGCGACAAGTGACAGTTGGAAGGCAGTCGCAAAACGTCGTCTCGATAAATGCCGTTTCTTTTCTTGAATATATGCTCTTTAGAGTTTATACGTGCTTTGCGTTGCACATCTCGCACTGTTTGGGCATACTGGCAGTCAAATGTTTGACAGCAGCACTTATCGTACATTATGTTGCAGTGGCAGTGGTGACGTGAAAGATAATTCACATAGACGTACTAACCATCTCAGATAAGTAGAGTAGATGTTTTAAAATGCAGTCAGCCTGTATAAAAATGACTTTGGATATAATTGCGAAAGTCCGGACGGACGTTCGATCTCCCCAAGGCCCAGAACGTTCTACTTGACCAACAGCAAAACGCCGAATGATGCATAAAAATCGGACCAGGAACAGGATAATTGAAAACAGTGTCCAATCAAGTAAAGTGTTTTTGTGAAATGTATGCACGACTGGCGTGTAAATAAAATCTACATGTTTGCAAAGATACGCCTGCAGAGAGGAAAAGTAGTGACAAGATGACTGGACGGTTTAAAGAAACAAAGTCACATTACCCGCCTCTCGACAGATATGATACGGCACTGGACAAGCGCGCAGAGCACATCAGCAGCGATAAAGAGCAGCTTGCCCATTGACACAGCCAAACAAGTGAGAGCTGTGCGGAGAAGAGGGTGCCGCTCAGGACAACGGGCCAGAAGGAGGTAACCGGGTGCCAGCAGGCCCGCGATTAGAGGGGAATACCGGTAGGTGGGACGCGCCTCATAGATGTCCTCTCCTTGCACCATGGCGCGAGCAGCATCAGAAAAGACGTCATAGTCCACATCCGTGAAGCGTAGTTGGCCGTCTGGCCAACGAGTCTGGTCCTGCCAAACGCTGAAAACCAGTAGAGCCAAACGAAACAGAATGGCGTTGCGGAGGAGACGGGGAGAAATAGTTGGATGGTCATCAGTCAGGCGAGTGACGCTGTCCGAATCCTCCTCGCTCCGGTCGCTATCAGAGAGCTTTGTCCCAACCTGAATTAAGAGCGAACTGAAAGCTGGAAGAAGACTAGTTAGCTCTGCCAAGGCATAAAACTCAGTAATAATGCGGTTGGAGAGCTGGTCTTAGAACTGTAGAAATATCTAAAGCAACTAAGCCAACGTATGTCTTCCGCAGGAACACAAGCGTAGAACATAGTCTTAGGCTTGTCCCCCTCTTATGATGACGAATAGCAACTCTATAGTGGTAAAGTTTTGCCCTTAGCTGATGGTATTGCTACATAAGCGGCTATTTTGAAGGTTGATTGCAATTGTACCTAACGATGAAAAACAATATCATTAAATAGAAGCATAATCAGGTGAGGCTTGGCGTTTTCTAACCTCTCTTGGTCGACCTGTCTAAAGCACTACCAAAGATCCGAAAATTCGCCCTAGGTAATTCATCCTGTGCCGACAGCAAAGACTGGGGGAAGAACAGTATAGCCGAGTTCCGTCTTCCACTGATAAACTGCGTACCCATGGACAGTTTCACAGACGGAATACACAAGATCCCATTGGAGTGAAGGTGTCAGTAAATAAACTTATAACAGTCAGGGGTACGTCAACCTTAACTGTAGTAGGCGACCTATCTCGTTAAACACTAAGCGAAACTGTGAAATGTGTTTTCAACCAGAAGGGATAGCTTAGGTGGGATTGTAATATTGACCATCGTGCGGCCCATTCCAAGACATTCCAGGATGCCAGCTTTTGAATGTGTCCCCTCCTAGTTGCCTGACTACTTTAGTAAAACTAAATTTCTCCGCTGATTTTCGATGCACTTATAAGTCTAAGCAGTCTATAAATGGCGTAAACAAGAATATACTCCCCTGCACTCAATTTATGGCAAATTCCGTCTTCCAATTCGCCACTAGAATAAATTATAAGTTTCGGCCTGAAAGCCTTGTAGTTATGGGAATAGTGAAGATTCTGAAAAGAAGATTAACGCGCGATCACTGGGACACTATGTATATTAGTCTGAGCTTCCGGTCTCGTAAAGGAGGTCACCGTCGGAGACTGTGAGAGTGCGGCGTCAAATGAGAAGTTTTTGTAATTACACAAAGGAGGGGGCGATAGGAGTACAGGGGGTGGTGTTCGCGATAAAGCTGAGTCCACGCCGCCCCACGGCGGCGTGGCTGCGCGCTCCCATATCCGCTGCACAATTTTACGAGCTATTTATGGCACCTACCCTGTAGCGTAGATGAGTATATGGTTTTCCTTAAAAGCTTACACCTTACACTTTGAAAAACCAAACGCACCTGAAACTGATGTCCGGGTTCAAAGTAGTCTGGGAATCATACGACGATAGAACACAGATATGTGTGCCGCCTCCCTGAAGTAACTTCCTGCAAAGTCCATTTTTAACTCAGTAAAAAAAGTATGCAGCGCAAATATGATTTTCTCTCTTTTACATTATATTAAGAACACCCCGTTTTCTCGAACACGACTCAGAGGGGGAGTCCACATATTCCTATCCGAACTAGAAAACGTTTTCAGAGCTGGAAAATGACACTTCTTCGGGTATAAAGCGTAAATATGTAATTGGACACACAATGAGCAGAAGAAAGGACATTTTGCGCGTGTTTTCTACAAAATATGTTTGACTTTTGTAGGGACTCGAAAACTAGTGCGTAAAATTCACATTGCTTAAATAGTCGGTCCTAACGAGAGTGATTTCCTCAAACGACCGTAAAAAACTGACATTCTGGCTGGACTGAAATGTCTTGGAATTAGGTTGAATGATACTCCACATTATAACCCAACCCCAGAAGTTCTTTCTAGCCAAACGCACACTTCAGAATTTCGGTCAATGTTTCATGAGATACGTCGCCTATCGTGGGTATTTCAAAACTAGTTAATGGTAAATTTAAAAGCAGTCTCCATGAGGTCCATCGATAAAGTATTTGCCTTGTTACCGATAAAACGAGGTTATAGCAGGAGGTCTCACGGATCATTACTAAGTCAAATGCTCTGCAGATGCTTCAAACAACCACAGTAAACAGGTAAGGGGTAAGTAAGCACCTGGTTAGGATTTGTGATTCTTAACATGGTGAATAAGTCAGATCTGTTGGAAGAGAAGGACTTACTGAAAAATACAAAACTTTTTGGATGAATTTCGACTGATACGGTTTAAATGTGGTGACGGTAGGGGTAGAGCAGCCTCATGTTTGTATGCACGCCCTGAGACACATATTGGTAAATCGCTTAGTCTATATCCAAGTAAGCTAGATTTTTCGGACAGTGAAAACAAGAAATTAACGGGAGCAACTGGGAGAACAGATGCACAGAGTAGTCTGTGCTGGAATCATGTCTTTTCTCTGGACATAACAAAGTAAGGCCTGAATTGGGCCGCGTCACAGACTTCCCCACATTCCGGGCTACAAACGCTGTTCCCTGTTGACCCGGCTCTACTCCCTCGAGGCAGCGAAGTTTGCCAATGCAACCAAGTCCTGTGTGCAAACTTGTATGAGCTTCAGGAATTTTTCTGTATCGATACGAAAATAGATACTACGGTCTGTTAGGCATTAAGCATTCCAAGCATCCAAAAATCCTCAGGTCGTGTCTACATAATTACGCTTCCGGAATATCTACTCAAGGTACATTTCTAGAAGAAGCACTAATAAAAGCCGATTTCGACATGCGCTAGTCCAACAGTGATTTTTTTCGAGAAGAAGTGCCCCACGTACCCATAAGATTAAGTGCTTTGAGTTTTAGGTAGACTTGGCTCACTTCAACGCGCAAATGAATGCTTGTACACGCCACTCGAGGTAGTTAAAAGCTTTTGCAGCGGTTACTGGTGGTTACAAAAACGACTATTTTGGGTAGCACGTACCTCGAAAATTAAACAGAATTGTTGCGGCCTGAGAACAAGTAAACTTCTCCGAGCTACTGGTCTATCACAGACCGGTAGTTATACACAGCAAGTAACAGAACATGCGGGTCAGACGATGCGGCGTGAAACCACACGGCAGGATAAGCGGTGTCCGGAAAACAAAATAGCGATATTGCTTTTGGCGCAACACTTGTTGCAAATTAAATAAAACACTACCCACAGGCCGGATAGAAATGGTAGTTGCTGGTGACAGAAACTAGACGCCCATTCTAAAAGGGTAGTCGAGTCCTTCAAATAGAGGTGACCTATAACCCAAAAACACATGCGCGTATGTTGGTGAAGACAACAGCAAGGACCAGGTCATCTTTGAGAGATTGTGTTTGCTTGGACAGAGAAAGTACGGAAGGCACGCATGCCACCAAAAGTATGCGACCGCAACTTAACCCTAAAAAACCGTGTTTACTTGGAGTTAACTTCGGAGGAAGTTAAACAAATATGCATTGTTTTCCCTAAATATATTTAAAGGAAATAAAGGCGACAAAGCACGACTGGCCAATTTCCTATGCTGAGCAGTTGTAAACACGCTTGGCCAGGTTTCGCTGTAACCCAAACTCGCTCACTTATAAAACTTCCTTCCCCATCCCAAGCAGCATGCCCACCTGTATGTCTGGTCAGAATTTCGTTTTTACTTACCTACTACCTTTGACTTCCCCAGGCCGTTTTCTTTTTAGCCCTTAATCTTATAAATCTACAATGGCCCGTAACAGTTGAATAAGTGGTCATCAAGTTTTGTGACGTCATGGAATTCTGCATATTTTTCAACTTTGTCGTGTTCAGATATGTAAATACATGTCTTCTAAGCCCACTTTTCGCTTCAAGCGACAAATGTTGGCGGTCGGCATTATCAAAATGTTTGTGAATGTGTGTGGATCTTAGAAGAAGCAAAAAAGTACTGCACTACTTGTGTAAACGAGGAAAAAGGCAAGCAGATAAAGGCTTTGCGAGAGGGCGGTTAAAAAGCAAAAGTCATTTATTGTTTGCACAACAACTGGCTTGCAGTAAAATGGGAGAACGGGCAAGTGCCATGACGAAGGAGAGTCTATATTTGCACGTGTGCCCTGGAAGATACAATGCTTTGCGGATACATGAAAATATAAGAGATTGACAGGAAAAAGTCGTTCAGTTGGGTAATTGGCACAGCATGAGCGCTGGAAAAATTCAGTCTAAAAAGAAAACAAGAAACCGTCGTAAAAATGCGCCTAAATGGCATGTGAACGAGACGGCGAATATTCTCCTTTTCAAAGAGCAACTTTACCACAACGGCGTAAGCTTACCAAAATAAACAAATTCTGGGGCAATGGGAAAGTTAGGATGTTAGTGTTAACACTGATTACAGGAAGTTCGGAAGAAGTATGGTTTATAAGCGCACCACATTATGGTTATCGGCACAATGGTCGCCACCGAATCAAAAACCGACACTGGATCAGCGACGCGCAATTACTTTCAAGGAAGGAGGCGTATTAGTTGCATTGAAGTTGGAATTTTTGACTTCTTTACTAGCTGGATAGCTAATAACAACAGCCAGGGACAGTCACTCAGTCCCTGTGCATGTGTTATCCGATTTCTTCATCAGTGATCGCTGGTTGCTTTGCGACCGCCTGAAAGGACGTCAGCCTGAAGCTACAGGGCAAAACAAATGTCTGTATACTGCTCTACATTAGTGCTATATGGGTAAATAATACTTCCGTCTGATTTTAAATATCTGCAATCGCAACAAAATAAATAAAAAGTCCTCATCTAGCATTCGTTGACGATAGACTTCTGCATACGGAACAACAACCGATCTGAGTCATAAAAGCCCCCGTTCACCTTGTTGTGTGCGTCAGTTATTAGTATGATTTATGTAACGTAAGTCAGTCGAGACTGCAACTGCAAGTCACGTCTTACGCCACAGGAAAGTCTAAATAACTTCCGCGTGAAGTGTCAAGCATAGAGTTTCCCGTGTAGGGCTCATTTGACAGCGTCCACATAATTTGTAGGGCAAAGTAGTGTCTCTTACTGTATTACTGCCTCTCTCCTCGCATGAAAGAGTGGCTGTGACATTCGATATCAAAAAACCATTCAAATATGGTACATACCTTTCCTAGAAGCCCGGCGCTCTTGTAGAATGCGATGATAACGCTGAAGGCCATCCATATGTACATCATGGAATAGGATGTGTTTCCGACTAGCCCGTATCATCTCGACGGACTCAGTGGGCGAGAGGTCGTAACGGGACATTAAATAACAGGCAACCAGGAAAGCTGATCGAGTTCGACCGGCCTTGCAGTGGACGTAGACACTTGACCCCCGGCTGTTGCATGAATCAATGAAGTCGATGCCCACATCGACCTAAACAGAAAGTGGTTAGTACTAGGGCTAGGAGAGTTTGTGGCAAAATTAAATTCGGGACACGGAAATAGGTAGACCTATGGAAGTTTGCGCAAGACCGCCTGTAGTAAGGAGATCCTCATTCAACCAATCATGAGACCTGGGGAGCCCCTCATGCAGAATTGGAGAAGTAGGGATCTGCGTGAAATCGGTGGCGGCAATCTTCGAGACTAGACAAACCATTGACTCAAAAGGGAGTGGCAGGCACGAGAAACTGGACTTCCAATGGCCAATCTCCCCCCGGCAGGCCAATCCGCCAGTGCACGTGCGAGGTTATGACTGGTGCCGTAGGACACTATTACATATCGCTACATCAGTGCCACCGCCCTCATCCGACACACCCCAGCATCGCCGACAAAACCGCGCTGACCCCATGTCACTGGGGTCGTATCCTTCGGCCAGGATTCCCCTTCGTCGGACGTCCCGTAATCACTACAGAACAAATCTTGTCAGAAAACAGAAGACAATCGCAGCCGCGTCAGCATAATGCAACCTTTCCTAGCTGTAGACGTGCACTAGTGTGGCACCAACCCCGACAGACAACAGAGAACCTGTCGTTACGCTAATGAATGACTAGCTCCAGGAGCTCCGGCCAAACAGTCAAGCCTCTTGGCTGCCCCAGCTGGCCCTGAACTTTCAGGAGTCGCGCTGGCTAATTCCGTCTTACGCGCACACATGAAAACCACTACTAATCACCATGTCACTCATACAGCAACCACTGGCGTGAATGGGATCACCGTCTATTATGACGGGCGAGTTATTGGAGCGATATACAAATATCCCGAGCGATTTGTCGTGGACGAAAAGAGATGGGAATTCGATAGACTCTTATTACAGGAATTTCCTCCTGAGATTCAGCTGATCAAAAATAAGAGGCGGAGAGGGTGGGTTTTAACTTAGTATTAAGGAGCCTTATCCTCGGGCCCAACTTGCCTGACTTGTCGTCGGAACACCTGTGAAGTCAACTACGGGCAGGGACAGATAGTTAAGGCCGCGAGAGGCAGCCCCCGCGGGGCCGAGAACAAAGGATTTTACTTCGAAAGGCTCGAGCAGGCTGACCACGTGCGTAATCTTTTCTCTCTTCTGAATTTCCTCCCATTTAGACAGCACGGGTAGGCCGCCAAGGATGAGACGATCTGTGATCCGGTCATACCACGTCCGCAAACCTAGATAGTAGGCGGAGGTGCCGTAGGCCAGCGAAATAAAAAATTTCGCCTCTTTCAGGAGTTGATTAAACTATGTCGAAAAGAACAAGGAGAATACAAAAGACAGCAGATAAACGAGCACCATACTTTCAGGAAATAATAATCTAATACGACTAATCATTGCCAATCCTTACCGATAGAGAGGGACTGGAATAGTTTAGCTTTCCTAGCCAGATAGTTATATCCGGCCGAGTAAACCTGTAGATTTAGTCCAGGTCTTCAACCGTCGAGCCAGCGCTCGCCACTGGCGCACGGACCCGTGTCCTGCCGACCGCGATTGGGATCGTTTGGCTTCAACGCAGCGGCGTCCAACAATCAACCCTGATTGCTCGACGGAAGCTATGTTGTGCTTCGAGTCCCAGCGATGTCACAGCAATGAAAAACCAGTGACAGCAGTTGGGCTGTGAACAAGCTAGAAATGGTCATTCCAGTCCTTCTTGACGTTTCTTAAGACACCTGGTTACAGACTGCTCGTCGTTGTGCCCGTGAATGAGGATACTAGACCGAACGAGCGAGCGAATATTGGAGGTCTATATCTTACCCTGCAGTCAAAACTGATTGCTGAACACTACGCGTGTGATTTTTTCCCGCATGATTGATCGACTCCAATGTTTGGGTTTCTGAACAAGAACTTGGCAATAACAGGCATAAGTTGAATAACCAGGTCTACCAGTTTTGCAACGAAGTAGGGCAGAGGACAACCTACGGAGAAGATCCTTGGTCACAAAACTTTAGCAAAATGAACTCCAATTCCTTATTTGGACAGAACAAGTTTCAAGTACGGCGGAACAGGAAGAGGACATGTTGACATGAAGTACAAAGACCAATTACTCGGCAACGGGTGTGAGTTAAAGCTGACAATTCCAGATTCAAAACACTGGCCGGCGCAAATACTTCTCGTTAAGACGACCGTGTACGTCACCGGTAGTGCTGCTTTAGAGACAGAACGTGCACGCGGAGGTCAATCGATTCGACCCACTTTGACCAAAATAAATGACAAGCTGCTTGGAAATTTCAGGTTTCAGTGAGCCAGCACAGGTTAGACAATTCTAGGCTGCATTTCTTCCGAAATAAGTAAACAGAACAACCCGCCTGAAACAAATCTAGTCAAAGAAGACAGGAGCAAAAAAGACAACCTCGAGATACCTCGCCGAAAAAGGTGTGGAGCTTACACGAGGGCTAGTATGCAATAATGCAACCAAATGAGAATACCACTGAATAGAAGTGAAGTCTAGTTACCAACCACAAAACACAGAAAAAGTGGGACTACAACAAACATGAAATCAAGAAGCGCGACGGCCCTTGAAAAGGCAAATTTATTGATATAAGTCGTATGGCGGACAACAGACAGTGAGGTCACTGAACGGAAGTCTTTTTTGATGGTTCAGACTCCGACGATTGCTGGCACTGGAGTAACGTCAACTCGAGCTGTGTCTTCTTTTCTGGTGTGAGATTCGAACTTTCAATAAAAGTCTGAAATAAAAAATACAGAAACGCTAAAAGGTCCACAGGAAATTCTTTCGAAGGGAGGCAGCTTCTCAATTCTATGCGCAAGGAATAAATTTGAATACTGTGACTCCGGTTGACAACGCATTTTAAACCATCTGTACCGAAAATTTGAGGCAGGCCCATTTGCATAGAAACCGAAAGTTCTGTATTACGCCAAAAAGAGCAATTTTAATGTGTGGAAGAAATCAGATTAAAAACTTGGAAAACAATAATCAATTTCCAAACGTTGCTTTATTGAAAATACATCATCTAGCGTCATCGGTGCGCAGGTTTACTCGAGTAAACGATGAGAACGGCATTTTCGATCGTTAAATAAAGTTGACAAGGATTGAGGACTGTCCAGTCATGATCATGCACGGTTCACTGCCTATAGTATGAGAGGTGTGAAACCGCCTAATTGGCCGTCCAAACTAAACCATTACGGAGGCCGTAAGGCGTTAGGATTTGCGCTAGATGCTCTAAAGCCCGACCGGACCTACTGGGTAAATGAATGGATGAACCAGGCGTCCGGTGGCTCTGAATGAGTTGACAGAACGATTAAGACGGATATGACTATTTGACGGAAGCAAAAATATAAAAGAACGTTACTATTCCTTAATCCTGGCGCTTACATGAACTTGTGCATGATACCAGGGAGCCTGTTGGACAGCCAAGAATGGAGAACCTAGTACACAAGTAATACTTTCGCAACAAAGCATGGGGGTCTGGCTTTAAAGAAAGCAATCATCAGTAACTTTATCCGTTTCGAAGCCGTTTTTACAGCCACCATTCATGTAAGAGGTGAACTTAGAGAAGATAACTCTACCCATAGGCCCTTCCGACGTTATAGAGACATATAATGACTGTAGTGGGATATACACTAAAGCTCAGGCTGTACTTTGTTAGGCTGGGATTACTAAAAGATGCAAGTCTTTCCGCTAAGCAAGCTCATTTGGAGAAAACTTATTTGTGACTGCGAACGCTGTCTGTCAGTTGAAGTACAGTCCAGGGTTACTTTTGAAAATGCTGTCAATAACTTATGACGACGAGGTATTATCCCGTTAGTAGAAATCGACAGAGTGATCAAGGAGCCTACGCGAACAGTTACAAGGGCTAAGTGGTGTCAACTGCAAAAGTTAAATCACACTACCCCAAGACCGCGCGGAAGAGCCTAAGCGTGTTGCAAAACAGGACAAAATGAGCGTAACTTCACAGACTAGTTGGAGAAAGCCCAAGTTACTATTGCCTTTGAAGGACCAAACCATATGTTGCCCTAAAATAAATGCTAAAAAACATGTCTAAGACGTACAAGCATGTCTAAAGATCTTTTACGAAAGTTGGATAACTGTGGTTCATTAGCAGAAAAGTTGGCATACCCGAACCAGTTCTAGTGTACGCTCGATATGGCGCTTCAACAGAGGCTGCGATTCGTCGTTATTTTCGTGATCCAAGCATGATGGAAAGTTGTGACGCTTGTTCAGGGCCTCCGCAGCTTCAGACTGAGGCTGTAGTATGCAAGTAAGGTGGAGGATGTGCTCTGCAGTATCAAAAGCCTGGTGTGATAGCGCCTCCTGCAACAGACTTTCTGGCCGGCCGAGGCTAGCAATGACGTAAAGGGCAAAGGGACCGTAGTGCCGAGTATACCGTAACCGAGTTACCACGTGTTTTGTGGGCTCAGTTTCATCAGCAGACGTAGAGAAGGACCCACCGGTATTTTCAGCGTTGTAGTAACTCCAGATGCGCGCCTCTGCGTCATCATAGACAGCGTGACAAAGTCGAATATACTCTGGATCGTCGGGCTCGAACTGAGCCAGCAAGCGATCTAGTATGTACTCATGACGTCCAGACCTAAGGGTGGCCTTCATGCAAAACAGAGAGGAAAACCGTTGCTTTACTGAAAACTACGATGATGATGACGCAACAAAACGAAGATAAACTTACGAAGAATGAACACGAGAAAAAATCAGCAAACGCGGAAGCACGAAAGTGCAATCCGTGACACGCCATTATTTCGAAAGACTTCTTGGCTATCTGGCCAGTGGGGTAGGTTCAAAAAGCCTCGTAGTCTGGAGAAAACAGATAGCCAACTGAATTCGGCAGAGTGGCCCCGGATCAATAAAATGCGCCAGGTTCCAAACAAGACGCTTACGAATATGGGGAGCCCCATCAGAGGTCAGTAAAATATACTATTCATCTAAGATCACAAAAACGCATACTAGCACACTGACTGGGGACCACGCCACTTAACGCAAGCCAAGCTATAACAGATCCTTTTGGTATTAAGAATTTGTGGCCTTTTTACATGTGGTCAGCGTTAAGTGACAACCGTAGTTGACTAGGATGAATGATGGCTGCCGGTCATGAACCCAAAAATTTTCATTAATTTTCTAAATCATGCAATACTATGTCAACTTTTCTAATAGATGCATGCGAGGCACGGCTGATGAAAATATCTACCACGAGAAACTGCTTTTCTGGTTGGGGGAAGGCAAACTATGAGTTGTATACCTAATGGACGTGCCTGCAACCAAGGACAAGTCCTTCAGCCTCCGAGCGCTACTCATAAAATTTACAAAGAGGAAATGCCCACCAGGCGCCTTCTCTTCTATTGTCCTAATTGGCTTCTTTCTGATGTTCGACATTAAAGCGGACAAAGCGCTCTTCAAGAAAACCTTTAAAAAATATGAAAATAAAAAGGAACGAAGTTTTGCAATTGGTGAGCCATACATACCTCGAAATTGGGGGTCCGGAGCATGGATGGGACGCGCAACCGCCTACCCGGTAACGGAAAATACACCTGGTTCAAACGATCTCTCTCTGACGGGTTTGCATGACGAAGGGTTCCGTCAGCCTCACGAATGACCATAAGACGCTGCCTTCTCGTGGACTCCAAGCCAATATCGACAAAAACCAGCTTTTGGTTTCCTGGAAGAAGCCCACAAAGGTTAGGATCCCTCACAATAATGTTTTCCTCTAGATTGTCTACTCGCGGATTCATTACAGGGGGCATTTGTAATTTCTGCGCCGTGAGAACTTTTGAGAATGTTTTAACCTACTTTAAAGAAGTCGAACACAAGAAGATCAACGTTACCGCCTGTAATTCTGAGTCCGAAAGGAGCTTTATACTCGGAGTTTTTTCGGTGCGAAATTTCGGGCGATGAACTAATGCCAGGTCCGACTGTGAAACGAGCTTCCGTAATAGACTGTGAACCCTTGGGTTTAGGAAGTGACGCTGCAAATCCGTATGAACGGATGAAAAAAAGCCGAGCCCTAGGAAACATTAGATGAACGAAGATCATACTTTGGGATAAGACACGGAAGACACGGCCAAACAACGTAGACGCTTGGCTGCACATCGCAGTGGTGCAGAAGAAGATTAGACGATGCCAGTCAGGTAATCCAGACCTTCCTGTCCCAAAACGGCGTTTCACAGTTTCGAAAGGTTGACGGACTGTGGGAGGAAAACGAAGGTGACGTTTGTTTTGCGAAGGAAGACAGGCCATCTTGAGGCACGCTAAGAAATCACCCAAGGAGCTGATCGAATAAACCAATGGAAGGCGAAAAGCTCGAAGAATAACTTATGCGGCGGTGCCCAAGTGTTTGCCGGTGGAAACTCAAGGCCACCAGCCCACACGGCGCAATAATTCGTGCCCTGCCCCCCCCCCACTCCTCCTACATAATGCCGTCAATTAATTTTGATAATGAACGACTGCATCCCTTTTGAGGATCCAGACGAAGACTAAAGCTGGCTCGGTGATCACCCTCGCTTGGCCTTGCATTAGACAAAATAGCGACTGCTTTGCTTCTACGCTTTACCTTGATGTTGCCCGCCCTATAGAGCAGGGATGTCGAGACTGTATATAAGGGCACATTACTCCATGAAGTCCTGTTTCTTCCGTTTTGCCGTCGTCTTTCTGCACATTTAGGTGTTGATAAATTAAGCTGACAAAAAGAGCTAGGTATATTTCCCTTAACTGTCCTCGGGGCAACCTTAAACATGCACTCAGCACACTACCCCTTACCAGACCACGCTATGTGCAGCGCAAACCATCATGAAGTTATTCACAGCGGGAAATCACGAGCGCTGCATAAGTTGTGATTACAAGTCAAAGCATGGAAATGTATTCAAGAAGTAAGGACCCACCCATATCGCGCTGACCCTATATTGCTGACATGATCTAGAAAAAAGCCAAAGACGGGGCATCTAAATGAGAAAAACGCCGCAACAGAATGGCAACAGTTCTACCAAGCGGAAATCAAACAGGCTAAAACGATATAGGAGACATCAAGGTGAAAGAAGATGAAAATGAAAGAAATTGGCTATGCAAGGTTAAAACGAATGAAAAATGCATAAAGCAACTAAAAGTCCAGCCAAACTCGGTGTGTACTTGATTTCCAAATTCCGTTCCGAAGGACGCCGGCGTCCTTTGCCACGGCCGCTGTGTTATCCCAAGAACGTTGAAAAGAGCAACATACCGACCGAGTCGTCTTTCGCTTGATTTTTAAGTTTAGATTGATTTTATTGTATAAAGAGGCTAAATGGCACTCAGTGGTTTAGGCCACTTGCTGGAGGGCAAAATAACAAAACAACTATTACCAGTCACAAACCATTCCTTCTTTTTTAATATGTGTGCGCTCCTGTTATAAACTGACCATTTCAAGTAGTCTAAAACGGAGAGACAAGTTCAATTCCTTTGGTAGCCCATCTCAGAGTATGATTCAAAGCCATCGAAAATTATTTTTGCCCAACTTGTGCTCATATTTCAGGTATGGGGAGCTTCGAAGCGTTCTCCATGGCCGAACGTCTGACCAAATCACCTAATACTCTGTATAAATCATTTTGTTGACTGTGGTGAAATGGTTGCATCGCCGACTTCAACTCCAGAGCTTGCGGGCTCGACCCCGACCAGTATATGCAGGCAATGCAAACGGCACACATTTGACACGCATGTAAACTCGAAACTTCTGTCGGCTAAGAAATACCAGTCATTATTGCTTTAACAGAATCATAATCATGTGAAGCTAAGACAGAACACGAAGCATTCGTCAATAGTTACTAACAAGTCATGCAAAACGAAAACGCGCGTACCATCATATATAGTGACCGCAAGTCGACTGCAGTCCCTAAGCTCCGCAATGGGCTAGGATTGCATTTTTTTCTGTTAGCCTTTTTTCGATAATTTGTTTGACCACAGGTATTTGCCTCTACCTACCGTTCCCCAAATGAAACTTGCGTACGCCACCTTCGCCCAACAAAGCTCACTGAAACTTGCTCCAACAGGTTTGTGCTTATCCCTGGAATGTTCAGCGCTCTTACTATTGACTGACAGGTATGGGATGTGTTGGGTCTATCGGTAGCATGCGGTTATCAGCTTCTGTGCATGTGGGTGAACATTTATTCTAATAGAAACTGGCATTAGGGTCACATTTTAAGCAAACGCAATTTCACTTTGTCTAGCCGTGGTGTTAACACAGAGTTGGGGTTAACGCACTAGGCCCACAACAAAACCCACAAGTGTATTAAGTGATCATATCATATTGCCCATCGGGGACGCCACGTTAATTTTGTGCATATTATATGACCGATGGGATGCAAACATCTGTAACACAGATTATCCGTCGTTGCGGACGTAACTCCTCCCACATCTTCAATTCATTTTTCTCGTCTGAAAGGAAGATTCGTACTTTGGAGGATGGTGGTGGAATTGATATCATCTATACCGATTTCAAGAAGGCGTTATGCAGCATCCCATACAAACGTTCAATCTCCAAAGCATCTGAAATCGGAATAAGAGGAAAACTGTCGGCATCATTCGCTGATTTTCTCGCAGAGCGATCACAAATTGTTTATGCTGATACCTCGAAGTCAACCCCTACTCTCGTTCCAGGTAATACCCTTCAGGACTCCGTTCTTGAGTTGTGCACTTCCTTCTCTACATCAACGACTGCATTAACAAACTGGGTTGAAACACCAGCATGTTTGCTAAGGTCAAGCTCCGGAAGACTATCAGGTCTGACACAGACGGCACACATTTCATGGGAGTCTTAACCGACTTGGAATCTGGTATACTCGCTGGCTCCTAAATTTAAACGTTTGTTAGCTTGTGCTGCTATGACTCCGTATCATTAGGACCAGCTAGGAGGATGGATCTTTCCTAAACCTGCTTGATGGACAGCCCTCTTTCAAATGTTTGGAAGAGAAGGACATTAGTGTTCCGATAGCTTCACTTCTTAAACCACCATCGCGCTGCCTAAGGCGACAAACGCTCGACACAGATGAATTTCACGCCAAGACAAACTTTTGTACAAACTGACAATTAACTAGGCAGAATGGTATTACCGACAAAGACAAGGGAGACTGGAATGGCCATTTCTGGCTTATTAGCCGTCGTCAGCCAGTCATTGCCAAGCCCGAAGTGTGGAACACCCGAGCCTCGAACTCGCGACCTGTTTGTTTTAGAAGTCCACGCCTCTACCCACCGGGCAACGAGCCCGTTGCCCTGTCGGTTTTCGATCGGGAATACATAATGGTAGAGGTCGCTCACCAATCGTTCATACGGAACTCAGAAATGGCCATTCCAGTCTCCCTTTTCTTTGCCGGTTATACCGTTCTGCCTATATATCATGCGCCGCTGTGCGGCTGCTGGTTGGGCTCGAGAGAGAGCCCTTAAGGCACAACGGAAGGAGTGAGTTCCGTATGAACGGTCGGTGAGCGCCACCTACCATTGACAATTAACTCTTCGGGAAAACCTATACGGTCTCAGTTTGATTGTGCCGCGCAGGCCTGGTGTCCACATCCCAATAAAAATTACCAGTCGCAGAAACGAGTGCAGGTGAGGGCCAAGAAGATGATTAAGAATATTTGTCATCAGTCTTTCGAAGACAGAATTGTTGAAATTAATCTGTTTACTTTGGATTACGAGCAACTGCGCAAGGAATCTATTCGTGCCTGCTGGATTGTTAGAGGCGGTCAGTGTGCCCTAAAGTTCGATGAATTATTGGAATTTACTACGACGGACAGTCTGCGTGGCCATCCGTTTAAACTGCAGAGGGATTTGCTTCATACGGACAGCCTTCTCACGGAGGGTCGTTGGGGATTGGAACGGCCCCCCTGCTGAAGTGTTGCTTCCGGGTACTGGTGAAAAGTGTAAGTACAAACTTGATACTCATTTACTGAAAAACTGCTCTACAAATTGCCGCATCTTTTGAATTTGGATGGAAATTTCCGACATTTTAGAGATTTACCTTCCTGGACTTGCGCCTACTGGACGCTATGACGGCTTGTTAAGATTTTGGAACTAATGCGTCCTAACAATGTCTTGCTCCTTACAGGGCTATAATAGGACATTTTTAGAAAAACAACTCCCCTTCCGGTCACTTCCCTGTCAAGAACACTGCGAGATACGCCAAATTCAAGAACGTCGGAGTCCTTTGCTATTTACCCCACACTGAAGGTCTGCTCAACTAACTCTTCCCACACCGTTAAAGACACTCCAAGTTTTTTAACTCAGTAAATAAGTTGAACAAATTCAATTCAATTCACTTATTTTTATTAAAGAACCGTCGGGGTCCCATCAAAGAAAGTAAACATAAATTTACATGCGAATTTTAGAGGAGGTAGGCAAAATCTGTACAAAGTGCAAAACATAGTTTTTGAGATTAGAAGTCCGTTAAGCAAAATGAAAATGAAAACGAGGGGTGAAAAAAAAACTCCAAAGCAAAATTTAAAAATGATCTCATTCAAACCTACAGGATTGTCAGAAGCCGAGAGTGTGCCCTAGATTTTGATGAATTCTTTGAATTGGCCCGGACTGACCGTCTGCGTGGTCATCCGTTCAAACTGCAAAGGAAGCGGGCTCATTCGGACGTCCGACGGAACGCCTTCTCACACAGGGTCATCGGGGCATGGAATGGACTCCCTGATGCCGTCGTTCTTTCCGAAAGTGTTAAATCCTTTAAGTGCAGACTAGACGCTCACTTGTTGAGAACCTACTGTACATACAATCATGATTGTTTTAGCGGCGGCAGTTTGCGCCTGGCTCACAGTTACCGCTAACTTCTTAACGTTTCGCATTTGCTGATGTAACTGATGACTTTATTTCTGTTTATCGACATGAATAGGGTGCTCAAGGGCGAAAGCCTCATTCCCTTAATAAACTGACTTAAACTGACTTAATTTAACAGGAGAAAAAAAAACCTCAAAAAATAGCATCAGAAAAATGCAGGGAGGACTGGCCTGCATGTGGCGGTGCAGAATGGAATATAGTCGGACATCAACATGGCCGAAATAAATGTCAGCTGTATATGGCATTGTGTAACGGATTTCATAAAATGGTACGTAGGCGGGTCGGTCAGGACTGGCCTGTATCGCCTTGAATAAGAAAAATAAGTGGCGAAATTGAAAACCAGTCTCGAGGCGATAGGAACCCAGATGCGGTCGGTTTTATTCAGCCGAGTCCATCCGAGCATGGGGGAAGGGAGATGCGACCAGGTCATTGTGCAGGAAGTCCGTCTCAGGTCGGTATCGATCCTTGGCACCAGGATGACGTGGCAAATGTCGTTACTATTGGAACACTGAAGTACACCAGACGACCTAATAAAATCATGGGATAACCATTTTTTCATTGTAAATAAAAATTTGACGTCCAGATAAATTATTCCCTTCATCATCGCCAAACGAAAACGAAGAAGACAAAGAGGCGATGCCATTACCCTCACGTTATTTGTGCTGAAATTTCCGAAACTTCCCCGTTTCTATCATCACAATGCTGGGGTGTATGTTCCTGCTAGTCCAGGGTTGTTCTGTCTCGTCTTATAGGCGTACCTGACGCACGGTGTCTGACCTGCCTTCTGACTCATAATGGGCGTTGGTCTCTCCGTGGCCGGCCGCTAGCATACTCGTGTGACATCTGTCCCCTCCCTGTCCGTCGTTGTCGCTTCAAGGTCGGCGTTTCTATGGGCCCTCCCCTCACAATCTGACGGGCTGTTCAGCCCCGCCGCATGTGCGAAGATCGTTCGGTTGTTTTGGCGCGTTGGTCGCAGCACATAAAA